AATATATAGATAGATAAATTAAGGATCTTTACAATTTTATAATATGCAGAGAATAACATGTGCTGAAAAACCAGAGAGAGGAGCTGAGGGAAATCTGGGGGGTGGGGTTTTTCTTTTTTGGGGAGGGGGGAGGGGAAAATAGGGGGAGGAATGAGGACGATGTTTTTGATAAATTGCTATGTTGAAATTCCTAATAAAAAATATTCAAAAAAAAAAAAAAAAAGGAGAAGCAAACAACTCACCTTCCAACTGTTCCCTACAGTTCAGGAAGGAGAAAATGATTATTCCACCCTCAGGAGGCAGTTGAGGGGTTTGGTTTGGAATTGATAATAATAAAAATATGAGGGCAATGAACTTCAGGCAGCTGCTTGGAGGTGATAAGTGTAGAACCCAGCGACACACAGACCCCACCCTCCTGACAGCCAGAGAAGAAATTCTAGAACGGTAGAATTTCAGAGTTGGAAGGGAGGCAAAGAATCATATAGACCCTGCAATGCAGGGCTCACAGCTGATTGAGGACTGCAATCCCCCCATCCCTTGAAGGCACAAATTGTCCAAAGGCTAAGACAGCATCTCTCAGCATCCGTGGGCCCCCCATAAAGGTGCACAGTCAGTCACACCCACATTTCTGGGTTGGGGGGCGGCTCATCCTGATCTGCACAGTAGCCTTGGTTGGGAGGGAGGAGGGGAAAAGGCACCGCCTGTTTCTGAATCCTCAGCCTCACATGGAGGGGGCTCCAGAGGACATCTAGTCCCACCCCTGCCATGAATGAATCCTACCCACAGCGGTCTCTGCATGGGCTTGAACCACCAACCTTCTAGTTAACACCCAGGCGCTCTGACCCATTGTGCCACATAGGACTATCCCCCCACAGCCCGGAGGGGAGTCCACCCCACAGCTTGAGAGCCAGCAGAGCTTGGGTCAGCCAGAGCTCAGGGAGAACAAAGGCAGGAGGTGGCCTTCTCTTGAAGTGAGAGACATGGTTTTTTTTGGGGGGGGGCACAGCTAAATCTGCAAGAGCAGCTTAACTGAAGGCCCCTTCCAAGGATGAAACCCACCAGCTGCCTCCAGATGCTGAGCAGAGATGAGCTGAGGGCCTGGACAGCTAGCAACCATCTTTGGAAGAGATCATTTGGGCAGATGCCTCTTCTTTTCCCAGCACAGAAGGGATGGGTAGCCATCCAGCCTCTGCTTAAAAACCTCCAAGGAAGGAGAGCCCACCCCTTCTGGTTCTCAGAAAGTCCTTCCTGATACGTAGGAACAATGAAGGACAACGGGAGGTTGGAGGCAGGGAGCTGTGCGTGAGCAAGCTGGCAGGCATGCTCCAAACGGGCTAGAGTTCAGGGACAGTGGCCGCGAGGCTCCTTGGCACGCTGCGGCATGCCGGGTGCCAGGTGTGCCTCAGCACAAGCGGAGCCTTACCTCCATAGCTCCAAAAGGTCAGGAGGAAGCCCTGTCTTCTGGCCAAGAGGCTAGAGTTCAGGCAGAGTGGCCGCGAGGCTCCTTGGCACGCTGTGGCATGCCGGGTGCGAGGTGTGCCTCAGCACAGGTGGAGCGTCACTCCCACACGGATGTTAAGTCAGATCCTTCTTTCTCGTCATCTGAATCCCTGGGCCTGGCCAGACCCATTGTGGCAGAGGAGGAACTCAACTGCAGGTCTGGTGGTGGTGGGTTCCTCATTCCTTCATTGCGGGAGTTGGACTAGATGACGCTTGGGCTCCCTTCCAACTCTACAATTCTCGGATCCTATCCTTCAGCACCCGCTCCCTTACCTGGAAGGCTGAGCACCCCACTCCACCTTTGCCAGGAGAGTCTCTGCTGCCTGTCCTGAGCCTTTCCTTCTTTGTCTGCAGCAGGAGAGACCAAAGGGGCAGCTGTGAGGAAGCTCTTATGCACAGGCTCCCCTGGTGGTGCTCCAGGGGCTCTGGGGCTGCTGCTGCTGCCCCACATGGGACCACCCTGGAGCCCAGAGTTTAGAGGGCGCTAAGAATAAACTTGCAGGATTCTTTTTAAAACAACACCATCACCTATGGGCAGGGATCTCTAGCCCCAGTGCTGCAGAACTTTCTTTGAAGCAGGTGTATGAGAACTGACACCTGGTCCTAAGCTTAGAAATGCAGGGGTGGCAATTCTCACATTCCGTTTCCATGCATAGATCCATGTTCGTGCACCCAGTCAAAGGAGTCTGGTCTGCTTTGTTGTCCTCATCGTCGTCACCCTCAAATGTCAGGTTCTGCACTTAGGCAGGAAGAACCAAATGCACAAATATAGGATTGGGGGCACACGGCTTACTCCCAGTACATTTCTGAGCACAATTCAAAGTGTTGGTGCTGACCTTGAAAGCCCTAAATGGCCTCGGTCCAGTATATCTGAAGGAATGTCTCCACCACCATTGTTCTACCTGGACACGGAGGTCCACCCTCAAGGGTCTTCTGGCAGTTCCCTCCCTGTGAGAAGCCAAGTTACAGGGAACCAGGCAGAGGGCCTTCTCTGTAGTGGCGCCTGCCCTGTGGAACGCCCTCCCACCAGATGTCAAAGAGAAGAACAACTACCAGACTTTTAGAAGACATCTGAAGGCAGCCCTGTTTAGGGAAGCTTTTAATGTTTGATGCATTACTGTATTTTAATACAGTAGTGCCTCGCAAGACGAAATTAATTCGTTCCGCGAGTTTTGTCGTCTTGCAATTTTTTTCGTCTTGCGAAGCACGGTGTTGGAAAAGTTTTGGAAAAGTTTCAAAAATCACCAAAGTCTCCAAAAACCTCAAAAAAGGCTACCACACTGCGTGCTATGAGTTGCTCCTCGAAGTCAAGTCACAACTGTATTAACGGTGTTAAGAAAAAGGAAACAAACTTGCAAGACGTTTCTGTCTTGCGAAGGAAGCCCATAGGGAAAATCGTCTTGCGAAGCAGCTCAAAAAACAAAAAACCCTTTCGTCTTGCGAGTTTTCCGTCTTGTGAGGCATTCGTCTTGCGAGGTACCACTGTATTTTGTTGAAAGCCGCCCAGAGTGGCTGGGGAAGCCCAGCCAGATGGGCGGGGTATAAATTAATAATAATAATAATAATAATAATAATAATAATAATAATAATAATAATAATATATTATTATTATTATTATTATTATTGCAGTACATGTGAAAAGGGTCTAGGAGTCTTGGTGGACCACAAGGTCAACATGAATCCACACTGTGATGCAGCGGCAAAAAAAGGCTATTCTAGGCTGCATCCACAGAAGTCTAGGATCCAGATGAAGGGAAGTCATAGTCCCACTCTATTCTGCCTCAGTCAGACCACACCTGGAATGCTGCATCCAGTTCTGGGCACTACAATTTAAGAAGGATGTTGACCAGTTGGAAGGTGTGGAGAGGAGGGGTACCAAGACGATCGAGAGTCTGGAAACCAAGACTAAGGAGGAGCAGTTGAAAGAGCTGGGGGTTTTTAAGCAGAGGTTGGATTCTTTAGCTGTGAATCTACCGTTCTACAATTCTGTGAGAGAGCCCTTGGCACACCCAGGAGCTGCTTGCACATGTGCAAGAGGCACATTGCCTTATGTCAAGGCCATCGTGATCACGCAGGAGGAGGGTGAGGTGCAGATGTTGCCAGATATCCGCCCACAAGGGAGTCTTTATCTCTGAAACAGCCTGCTTGGTTCTTTCCCTGCTGCCCCACCCCAAGTGGAACATGGGGGTGGGGGGGAGCGGGGGTTATTGGTTTGTGCGTGTTTTTCTTGTTTCTATCATGCACTTCATGTTCGTATGTTGTGAACCTCCCTGAGATGGGTTGGTGAAGGGCAGTATAGAAATTTCATAAGTAATAATGATAACAAAGAATGTTCCATATTTGCTGCTCTTCATTTGATACATTTATATTCCAGCTTTCTCTCCAAGCAGCTCAAGCTGGTGTAGATGTTTCTCCTCCTCACAACAACAGCCCTGTGCTGTAGACGAGGCTGGAAGGCAATGGCAGTGCCCCCACCCCAGCCGAGAACACATCCAGGGAGCTTCATGGCTGAGTGGGGATTCGAACCCAGCTCCTAGTCCAGTATACCTGAAGGAGCGTCTCCACCTCCATCGTTCTGCCCGGACACTGAGGTCCAGCGCCGAGGGCCTTCTGGCAGTTCCCTCACTGCAAGAAGCCAAGTTACAAGGAACCAGGCAGCGGGCCTTCTCAGTGGTGGCGCCCGCCCTGTGGAACGCCCTCCCATCGGATGTCAAGGAAATAAATACGGTAACTGTCTGACTTTTAGAAGACATCTGAAGGCAGCCCTGTTTAGGGAAGCTTTTCATGTTTAATAGGTTATTGTATTTTAGTGTTCTGTTGGAAGCCGCCCAGAGTGGCTGGGGAAACCCAGCCAGATGGGCGGGGTATAAATATTTATTATTATTATTATTATTATTATTATTATTATTATTATTAGTCTGACACCCTAATCACTACACCACTCTGTCTTTCAATGACTCTCTTTGCGTAGTCTTCCTCACACGCCAGGACTGCAAAGGGCTGGAAAACACGCAGAGACCCCAGAAGGAGAACTCGGCCGCCCGATGGGGCAGCTCAACTTGGCCAGGCTACAGTTCTCTCCGCAATGTATGGGGGGGGGCGGTGTCCTTAAACCTCAACTCCCTGGAGGTGGGACCTGCCATTCAGGAACACCACGGCCCCGTGTAATTGTGTTGAGTGTGCAGTGCAGGACTTTGGGATTAAGGCAGGGGGGCTTCAAAGAACGCTGGCTTATATTCCATCAAGACCCCTTGTGCAACCAGATTTTGGGGGGGGGATTCTTGCAAGCAGCCAATAAGGCAAGCCCCCTCTCCAACCCTTTGGGGGCCTTTCGGCAAGGATTCAATGACCGGCAGCATCTCATGGAACCTCCACGTCCAAAGATACCTAGATTCCTGGGTTTGGTCACTGAGAGAGCAGGATGTTACGTCCTGCAAGGGTCACCTCTCCCGTCCTCCCACCCCCCAAAGGCCCCCCCCCAAAGACACACGGGAGCCGGCTCATCTTGCAGGGAGTGACGTTTATTAGCTAGTGGCCCCGCGTGGGGGGTCTGGCAGGGGGTTTCCCCGCGAGGGAAGGCGCTGGCGGTGCTGGCGGCGTGGGCGACCGGGCGGACGCGAGGCAGCTGGCCCTGGTCGAGGGTCGCTCAGTGGTAGTGGCGGCTCAGGGCGTGCGACACCACGTTGCCGAGCTTCTGGAAGGCGGCGTGGGCGGTCGGAGTGAACTCCTTCCCGAAGTGGGAGGCCAAGACGATCAGGAGCATGTTGATCAAGAGCTGGAAGAGAAGAGAGGCGCTCGGTGGAGACCGCGAAGGGGAAGGGGGCACAGCCAGGCAGCCGGGGGGCAAAGGGTCGGGATACGGGCGGGGCACCCCCTTCTGCCCCCCCCCCACCATTCCTCAGAGGCTGCCACGACGGTGCCACGCGTGGATTTCGCCGGGCAGGCTCTGCCACGGGGTTTGGAAAGGGCGGTGGGTGCTGGAGACGGGGGTCCTCCGTGAGGGGCTCCAAGTCACAACAAGCCCCCCATAGAACTTTAGATTTCTTTCTTTCTTTCTTTTCCAAATTCAACACCCATATTCAGTTTCTAACATAAACCCATTACATCATTAACTAAATTAAAGTATACCTAATTACTCGAAACTTCTCTTTGCTGTATACAAATATGACACAGTTAGAAATTTTAGGTTAAAGCTTTCATATTATAAATAATATTTCAAATTCCCCCATGCCCCCCTGTTCCCCTTCACCCATGTGTGATCTCAATTTTTTTTTTTAACTTCTTCCGTCTTGTCGTGTTGTTATAATTGAATCATTGTTCAATTTATTCTTTGATTATTTCCTTGCTTACCCCTGCATGTTTTGCACATTAATATTCCAGTTCCGGAACCATATTTTTTCATGTATTCCTTCACTCCCTCCCACTCTTTAATTATTCTCTGATTTGAATGGCCTCTAATAGTTGCCGTCAATTTTGCCATTTCCACAAACTCACAGAGTTTACTTTGCCATTCTAATAATGATGGCATTTTCTCCCCCTTCCAGTTCTTTGCAGTCAGTATCCTGGCCGCTGCTGTTGCATAAAGAAATACATTTTTTCTTATCTCTGGGAATGTCTTTTGATATTAGGCCTAACACAAAAAAAGCCTCTGGCTTTTTGGCAAACGAAATCTTGAATATTTTTTTCAGCTCCACATCTACCTTGCTCCAAAATTTCCTTACAATTTTACATCCCCACCATGTATGGTAAAAGGTTCCCACCTCCCTCTTACATCTCCAGCATAACACCCATAGAACTTTAGAATTGTAGAGGGTCATCTAGTCCAACCCCCCCTCCCGCCCCCCCCCAAAATGCAGGAATTGCTGCTAAAGAAGCCCTGGCAGATGGCCCTCCAACCCTCTGCTTAAAGACCTCCTGTGAACGATAGAATCATTGGATTGCAGAGTTGGAAGGGAAGCCAGGAGTCATCCCACCTAAAGCACTCTGCTCTGTGGCTCCACATTTTGCAGCCAGTTTGCAAAGAAAAAGTCAGTTCAGAAAAGTTTTGTTGACAAAGACAACTTCCCTCCCAACTCCGCAGTTCTATGATTCTCCTCGCTGCTCTGCTGAATGTTAAGGAGTGGCCTGAGGGCCTCCGGCTTCTTGGCCAGGAAATAAGTGGTCTGGATGGGTCCTTATCTCCTCGCCCACATGCCTCCTGCTCCCTTCTTCTGGTCTCCACAGACGGGAACTCAGGCACCCTATTCCCTGCCACCCACCCTGTGCGGAGACGCCACTCTGGGCAGCCCTTTTGGGGAGATGGGGGCCTCACCTTGAAGTTCTCGGGGTCCACATGGAGCTTGTTGCAGTGCAGCTCGCTCAGCTTGGCAAAGGCGGACTTGACGTTATCGAGGTTCTTGATGGCTTCTCCGAAGGAGGCCATGACCACCTTGCCGTGCGCCTTGACCCTGGGGTTGCCCATGATGGCGGCAGGGCTGGAGAGGTTGCCAAATTGAGCAAAGAGCCTCTGGCACCAGGGGTACACCACCAGCAAGCTGGAAAGAAGGAGAGAGAATAAGAGAGAGAGAGAGAGGTGGTCATCTTGGCTGAAGAACACACGCCTGCCCTGTCCCAAGTGGGAGAGTGGAGGGGAGGGGTGCAGCTTTACCTGCCAAGGGCTTCGGCCCCAATCACGGCCACGTCACTTTTGCCCCAGATCTGGGTGATGATCTCCCTCTCTTTATCGGTCCATTGCACCATGGTGGCTGGCTGAGGGTTGGGTAGTTTGCTCGGCTGCTGGACGAAACCTTCTGGGCGAAGCTGAAGCCCCTTCCATGGCTGGAGCCTTTTATACCCTGGGCCAAAGCTGCGGCTCCTCCTCCTTGTGTGGGCGGGGCCATCCTTGGCCAGAGGTTGGGTGGTCTGGCTCAGTGGGGCCGAGCCAGAGCAGGGTGGCAGCCAGCCCTGGGGTGGGGCTACATAGGCCAGGCAGGAGGCCCCAGATAGCTGCCCTCTCTCTCCCTCTCCCTCTCCCTCTCTCCCTCTGCCTCTGAGAGTTGGAAGATTCGGGACGGAGATGAAGAAAGTCCTTTGCACAACACAGAGTTAAACTGCAGAACTCCCTCCCACAAGAGGCAACCACCAACCTGGGTGGCTTTGATAGAGCCTGGGCAAGATTCAGGCTATCAGTGGCTCCTAGCCAGGATGGCTCTGCTCTGACTGCACAACGGGCATCTTGCTGGCCCCTGTGAGAAGAGGGTCCTGGACCAGATGGATCCAGCAAGCTCTTCTTAGTTCTTACAGGAGGCCTCCCATGGTCCTCTCCGTGGGGTGAGGTTCATCCCAGCCCTTGGGAGTCTCGGAGGTCAGGGCTGAGGGCTGGCACCACTGGGAGAGGTTGCATACAACTTGACCTCTCCAGGTCGTCTAGTCCAACCCCTCTTCTGGGCAAAGCAGGGGGTGTCAGCAGTGGAGAGATTGGGGTTGTGCTGTTGGGGCTACAGACCCTTCCTCCTCTTTAATCAGAGACTATCTACGTCTTCTTTTTTTTTAAAGATATTTATTAAAGTTTCAACGTTTTACAAAAATAAGGGGGGGGGGGAGAAAAAAAGAAAATACAAAGTAAAAACAGTTAAAAACAGATCAGTTTTTCCAAATCTTATCTTTCATTTGCTTGTTTCCCTGACCTCCTCACAGCTCCCTTTTTGTATTCCAGTTCAATTAGTTAATTCAGCAAATCCTTTCCCTCTTTGATTTTATCTTAATCTTTTATATTGGTATATCATAGCTTTAGATTATCTCCTGTTAACAATCCATTTTTACATATTCCTTTATAACATTGCTACTAAAAACCACTTAACTTCAATCCAATTCTAACATTCATTAATTTTGCAGTGTTTCTGTAAATAGTCTTTAAATTTCTTCCAATCTTCTTCCACCGACTCTTCTCCCCGGTCTCGGATTCTGCCGGTCATTTCCCCCAGTTCCATATAGTCCAGAGACTATCTACGTCTTATCTACCTAACACAAGGACATCAGAAGAGGCTGCTGGATCAGGCCAATGGGCCGTCTAGTCCAGCATCCTGTTCTCACAGGCAGATGCCTCTCTTGGGACCTGAGCCCCAGAGCAACCCTCTCCCCTTCTGCCAGTAGCTGGTCTTCAGAAGCATTGCTCCCTCATCCTGTGGAAGCAGCGCACAGCCCTCCCAGATCACAGCCATGGGCAGCTCTCTCCTCCGCCATGAATTTGCCCAATCCTCTTTCAAAGCCACCCAGGCTGGTGGCCACCACTGCCTCCTGTGGGGGGGAGTTCCACAGATTAACTCTGTGTCTTGTGAAGGAGTCCTTCCTTTCGCCTGTCCGGAATCTTCCAACCCTCAGCTTCACTGGAGGCCCCTGAGTTCTGGCGTTGGGAGAGATGGACGAAGGCTTTCCTCTCTCCCCTTTCCCAAGGCCAGGCAGAACTGCGCAAACTCCTTGCCCGCCTTGCCTCTGAGATAGAAAACCCCAAACTAGAAAACTTGTTGATTAGAATATTTGTATGAGATTGTATGGGGGAAATACGGAATAACAGATACAACTTTGCTTAAAATGTATATAGGAAGTGCAGTGTAAGAGATGGAAGTCAATCAATGAAATTTTATTATTGAGATAAAAGGTAAAGGTACCCCTGACTGTTAGGTCCAGTCGCGGACGACTCTGGGGTTGCATCACTCATCTCGCTTTATTGGCCGAGGGAGCTGGCTTTTGTCCGCAGACAGCTTCCGGGTCATGTGGCCAGCACGACTAAGCTGCTTCTGGCAAACCAGAGCAGCGCACGGAAACACCTTTTACCTTCCCGCCAGAGCGGTACCTATTTATCTACTTGCACTTTGACGTGCTTTCGAACTGCTAGGTTGGCAGGAGCAGGGACCGAACAATGGGAGCTCACCCCGTCAAGGGGATTCAAACCGCCAGCCTTCTGATCGGCAAGCCCGTGTCCTGGTAATTATTATTGAAATATTTGTAGAATAAATTTGGAAAAAATTCTTCCAATTTTTCTTCTTCTTTTTCTTTTTTCTTTTCTTCCTTTTTTCTTTTTTGTTCTTTTTTACATTTGTGTGCTTATCTGAAATATATATATATATGTATGTATGTATGTATTTGCAGTATTTGCTTGTATTTTGTAATAATTATGTTACATAAAATTTAATAAAAAAGAAAACCCCAAACGCTGCAAGCCTTGCTCATAGGGGAGTCGCTTCACCCCCTTGATCCGTTTTGGGGGACCCTTTTCTGAACCTTTTGCAACTGCATCTAGCTGCCTGGGATTCCAGGTGTTGGGGGTGAGGGGCCACATCAGGGCGGCCTGTCCCCCCCCTTCCAGCCCTGTTCTGGGACTTCTGCTGGAAACAGAGGGATACCCTTACATTGGAAGTGTAAAGACAGTGGAGGGACATGTTTCCATATGTGGTGGAACTGTAAACTAACCAAAAGTTTTGGGGAAATGATTTATAATGAAATGAAAAAATGTTTAAGATAATGTTTGTTAAAAGACGAGAGGCTTTCTTGCTAGGCATTGCAGGCCAATACTTTGTTATTTGTGTATGTGACAACAGTGACTAGAATATCACTAGCCCAAAGATGGAAAGACGACAAGGTACCCACGAAAGAAGAATGGCAAGAAAAACTCATGGAATGTGCTGAAATGGCAAAGTTAACTGGAAACTTAAGAGACTTTAAAAAGGACTGGGAACCGTTTATGTCGTACTTACAGAAACCTTGTAAAGACGTGGCCTCACTAGCAGGGTTTGAGTAAACACTTGCAATTAACAAACATAGAAATTAAGACGTAATAACTGGAAAATAGCAAAGTGCAAGAGGTAATTTTGAAAATAAGTATGGTACAAAAAATGTTAAGGATATAACAATATTTAATTTAAAGAGTGCAATATCAAGGTGGGAAAAAACAAGCGAGGGGAAGTAAACACCTAAAGTACCAGAAGAGGAATTTGGGGGAAGTTGATGGAATATTTTGGGGGTGGGAGAAGACTATCCTCTTGATTCCATAACCCCCTCCCCAGTGCCCCCTACCCTACCAAAACCATGATTCAGAAAGGCAGAGTGCACAGCCCACTCAGGAAGATAAGGACCCAATGAAGTTCAAAAACTGCAACAATTTAATGCACGTCTATTCAAAACCCAGCGAAAACTATCCCAGTTTAATTAATGCAACAAAGCGGATGAGTTTGATCCGGTGGTGACAGCTTTTCAAAGTCGGATAGGCAAGGACACCCCCCCACCCAGCTCCCCCATGGCTGCCTGCCCAGCCCATCTCCCTGGCAGCTGGCCTCCCTGGGCCTCCTCAATGTGCGCGGGGAAGATAATGGCTCTGCCCTCCTGCGAGCTGAGGGTGCGAGAGGGGAGATACCGCCCTGCAGATTGTGGGGACTTTGGGCGTTCGGTCAACAGGGGCTCAGATAAGCGGGGAGAGTGCTCCCCGGCTTGGGTCCTGTTTTCAGGCTTGACTTTGGTTCCCCATCATGAGCGCCTGGTTGGCCATGGCAAGAACAGAATGGGCTAGGTGAGGCCATTGACCCAGCAATGCTTTTCCCTATATTGCCTCCTTATAGGAACCTTCAGATGTCTAGAGCCACGTCTTGACCTCAATTCCCTCGATGAGTATTTGGTCTTGTGAGAACAGGTGCTGGACTACATGAGCCGCCGTTGGCCTGATCTAGCAGGCTCTCCTTATGATCTCGATGGTGGCCCCCATCTCTCCAGCTAGGTATCTCCATCTCCTGGGTGGCCCTGGACTGGCAGCTCACTGGTAAAAAATGTTGCTGCTTTCAGCTATGGCTCTCTGAGACCGCCCACCGGCGACTTGGCATTTTTAAAGCAGTGTTGTTTAAGTCGTTTTAGTTCGTAGTCTGACTCTTCGTGACCCTGGACCAGAACACGCCAGCCACTCCTGTCTTCCACTGCCTCCGCAGTTTGGTCAAACTCATGCTGTAGCTTCGAGAACACTGTCCCAACCATCTCGTCCTCTGTCGCCCCTTCTCCTTGTGCCCTCCATTTTTCCCAACATCAGGTCTTTTCCAAGGGAGTCTTCTCTCCTCATGAGGTGGCCAAAAGTATTGGAGCCTCAGCTTCAGGATCTGTCCTTCAGTGAGCACTCAGGGCTGATTTCCTTCAAAATGGAGAGGTTGGATCTTCTTGCAGTCCATGGGACTCATCAAGAGTCCTCTCCAGTACCAGAATTCAAAAGCATCCATTCTTCGGCAATCAGCCTTCTTTATGGTCCACGCTCTCACTTCCATACATCAGTACTGGGAAAACCAGAGCTTTAACTATACGGACCTTTGTCGGCAAGGTGATGGTCTTTGCTTTTTAAGATGCTGTCTAGGTTTGTCATTGCTTTTCTCCCAAGAAGCAGTAGCGCGCCACTTTCAACAGCCGTGGCTTCCCAGCCACCACCACAAACTCTTGGGAACTGTAGTTTGTTAAGGGTGCTGAGAGTTCCCCTCCCAGGGTTACAGTTCCCAGAGCCCCCTGTCAAGAGGGCTTGATGGTTAAACCACTCTGAGTACTGTAGCTCTATGAGGGGAATGGGGGGGGGTCTATCCTCTCAGCACCCAGTACAAACTATAGTTCCCTGAATACTTTGGGGGTTGGGGTGCCATGACTGCTCGAAGTGCTATGATAGTGCTGCACACATGCAGTTCAGACGGGGCTTGAGTGGAACCAGCAAATATCACAGCAGAGTCGCCGTGTTATAGTGGTCAGTGTCAGACTATGACCTGGGAGAGGCCAGGGTTTGAATCCCATGCTCAGGCATGAATCGGGGGGCCAGCCACTGCCTCTCAGCTTAGCTTGCCTCG